CAGATTAATAACAGATTAAATACATCTTTATCCAGTTTACACCGCATGATCAGTTTCTAAGTGTTACTTATAACAGATTAAATACATCTTTCTCCAGTTTACACTGCATGATCAGTTTCTAAGTGTTACTTATAACAGATTAAATACATCTTTATCCAGTTTACACTGCATGATCAGTTTTCAAGGAACCTGTAAGAACATCAAGACAGATTTCTCCAGATTACATTATTTGAGTAGTTTCACAATATTACTGATAACAACCTGAAATTGGCTTTATCCAGAACACGTACCATGAGCAGTTTTCCAGATACTGCCTTTAATAACCTCACGATAGCTTTCTGTAAGTTAGATTGGATGAGCAGTTTATAAATTGTAGCAACAACAACCTCAAGACAGTTTTCACATTACATGAGGAATTTGTAGAGATTAACTATTCAACATTCTTTGCATAAATATATGTCGTTTTCGATAACATCTCTCTCTCTGTATATCTTTTAAAAAACGTAGCCCTATGTTAATTGTATCAAGCTCATTCTTAATACTGATAATGTAAAATCAGTTATTTCTGACCAAACTCACCACAAGGTATTGATATTCGCCTCTTGTTAACTATATAAATTTTAATTTTTCTTCCACTAAAATCCATTCCTCGTACGGATAAAAATAGTGTTAATGGTGTCCATAATACATGTAAAACTTGCTAATCCGAGTGCATGCGAAACAGTCGGTACCAATTTGCAAAGTTTCACGAGAAAGTGTTAATGCTATATGGTTCAACATGAAAACATATAAAAACAACAATAAACTTCCATAGACAACGTGATAGCTCAGGAATGACATTTAAACACAAACCTTAAAATGCGATTAAACCAACTAACAATTCAAATTACACCTTGAAAGATTCGGTTGGATAAACTTAAACTCTTTCTAATAAACTTATTCAAAACTAGCTTTGATGTGGGAGCTGACTTTATAAGTTATAACACCCTTCCTGAAATAAAAATTGTCTTGTTTTAGCTGAGCTGGTAAGGCATTTATAGAAGGTTTACAGGAGGGGTAGTAACTTTAGTGGTCCCATCAAAAGATAAATGCAGAAACGGTTATTCATATTAGTGAGCAATAGCTGACAGTACAAACCTGTTTTCTTTTTTTTTTAAGAGTCATATTCTAATTCCGATGAGTAAAAATGTTTAATAAAGGGTCATAAAATTTATGGTCTTAGTGCTTACTCACTAAACTGTGCTAAAACTGTCTCATGCTTACTACTAGAGCCACTATGCATAATGCACACTCAACTGTGTTAACAATGGTTCCATGCTTGTTTATAAAGCTACTATACTAACTGACTCACCGAAGTGTGTTAACAATGGTCTCATGCTTGCTACAAGAGCCACTATGCATAATGTACACTCAACTGTGTTAACAATGGTTCCATGCTTGTTTCTAGAGCTACTGTACTAACTGACTCCCTGAAGTGTGTTAACAATGGTCTCATGCTTGCTACAAGAACCACTATGCGTAATGAACACTCAATTGTGTTAACAATGGTTCCATGCTTGTTTCTAGAGCTACTATACTAACTAACTCACCG